AAAACCAATGCAAAGATCCGATTATCCAAACCAAATTGTCCAATTGGACAATTCGGTTTTATCCAAATAGTGAACAGTCCTCGATTAGGGTTTGGCTGCACTCGTTCAGCGAGATGGGGAAGGGGATCGGGTTTAATCCCATGACTTCATCCAAACTACATACAAAATTGTCACAATCGGTCCCTCCTTTGCGAAATATATTCAACTTAGCTCCAATATTTACCAATAATACCTTGACTTCTGAAATCATTTTCAAATTAAATCCATAATTTACCAAACAACCCTCAGCCTTCAAAATTCTTTACAAAACTAATCCGGAAATTACACTTAACCCCCAATATTCAAAAGTTATGACATTTAACTCCCAAAACCAACACCTTGCTAAATTATTCTAAAATTAGGGCTACAATAACATCAGAAAATAATATAATTTGAATCTCGGGGTTTAGGGCTTATTATTTATTTACTTATTTTATTTAATTTAAAATGGAATGTTACACAGCCTACTGTATCCCTTTCTACTACAGAAGCTGAGTACCGAGCAGCAACTATGGAAACCCAAGAATGTGTTTGGCTTGTCCAACTCCTAAAAGACTTAAATCTAGGACTGTTCACTATTTGGATAAAACCGAATGTCCAATTGGACAATTTGGTTCGGATAATCGGATCTTTGGATTGGTTTTCAACAAAATTGAATTATTATTTTGGATTGGTTTTAGTTTATAAAATAAGAACCAAATAGTTCAGAAAAACCGAATAATCATTTATTATCTATTTATTTATAATATATATCTATAGTTATTTATTAATTTTGTAATTTATTTTTTCAAATAGGTTCAAAACGTTTCCCCTGATAAAAAAAAAAACATTAATATGCATTTTCTATCAAAAGTTTTCTATCTGTAAAATATTTAACTATAATATATCATCTTATTAGTTGTTTATAAATTTCAAATCACAACTAAATAATTTTTTTTCACTTCTTGTGTAAAGTTGAGGAATGTTATAATTGTATGTCGTTTTAAAATGTTTTGGTTTTTTAAAACCAAATTATAAAAACCGATCCAACCGAATTGTAATTGGATCGGATCGGATTTGATTTTGGTTTGGACTATTTGGATCTATGTTTTGAAAACCGAAATCAATTTGGATTCACTTGATTGGATCGGATCAAACTCATCCATCCAAACGAACACACCTACTTAAATCAAGATGTAAAACCCAAGATTCCCTTGTTTTGTGACAACTTATCTTCAAATCATCTCGCAAAGAACCCTACTTTTCAAGCTCAAACAAAACACATTGAATTTCATTATCATTTCATTCGTGAGAAATTACTAAAAGGGGAGATAGATTTAATCTATGTGAAAATAGTTGATCAAGTAACCAACCTTCTCACCAAGAGTCTAGCCAATCACAAAGTTGTGGACTTTTGCAACTCTTTGGCATTGTTGAAGCAGGTGTTGAGAGGGAATATTGAAGATGCAACACCTTACGTGATCTCATGCTTCTCACATGATTCCTGTTTTAGTCATGTTTGTTTTTTGCATGTTTATTTTCTAGCTTAGTTAATTTAGAGTTTGACTCAGTCATATAGTAGTAGTAGTGCCTTAGTGGGCAGTTTCCTTTGCAGTTTTTTCCTTTGTAATCGTAAGCCATATATGGCAACTTCTCTTCTTTTGTTTTGTTGTAGAATGAATGCAAAAAACCTTTGAGTCAAATTCTCTCTTCCTCTGTTCTTTGCTCATTAAATTTGTTGTGTACAGCTTGTGATCTCTCCATTTCAATCAACAGTTGAAGTGTAAGTAGGAGGCTATTGAGGCGTTTCCGTAAGGTTTAGGTTTGACAGAGGCTGCATTGGTTCCTGATTTGACTCCTTTTCCGGTGAATAGGTTCATGGCAACATTGATGCCACCCATTGAAGGGTATATTCAGAAAATCAATGAAGCAGCCAAGAGGCAGAGCTCACTTAAGGGGAAGCTCAAATGAGGTTAGTAGGAAGGAAGAATTGTTGGCTTTCTTTGTGCAGTTTTGTCCATTCATCATCAACTCAGCTGTTTACATTAGATCGAGTAGAATAAATTAACTTGTTTAGCTTTTCTTTTTCTTTTGATTGTTGAATAACAACACACATCTAACGAATTCATCTATGTCATATATGGATCATGCATGGATTCCAACAACAAAGAATGTATAAAATGACTATCTGTATCTGAATCCGAAAAATCCGATATCCAAATTTTGGTATCAGATATTTTTGAACACCTATATATATTGACAAAGTTGTGGGTCTATTAAGAAACATATACGCAACAATTTCTTATTTTTGTTTTTTCCCCAATATGATGGGGGAGCTAGTGATATTTGTCGCATTCAAGTTAGATATTTGATAAGATAGTTGTATATAAGGACATATTAGTTTACCAAACATTTATGCCTTGGGACAATGTATCAATGCCTTGGGACAATGTATCAAATGTAAATGTCAAATGTCAAATGTCAACCCAAACCTCTATCTATATCAATTCATATTTATATGCGAAAATAAATATGCAATTCAATATTTATAATTTTTACATGAAATTTTGCATTTGATTGTTTTTATTTTTATTTATTGACGTATGTAGGTTCTAATTCTAGCACTTTACTATACATAAAGTTTGTTAATATATAATTGTGGATTATTTGTAAATAAGATTTTGTTTGATTCGGATGTATGTGAACATCAATCAAAGATCGAAGAACAAAAAGTAATAATAGACAGAACTTTCTTTTTATTGAAGTGTTAGCAATATTCAAATAAAACCTCACAAAAAGTTTATAAAAAGTAATAATAGACGGAACTTCTTTTTTGAAGTGTTAGCAATATTCAAATAAAACCTCACAAAAAGTTTATTTGATTTAAATGATAGACTATTTTTTATGTGTTAGGTTTGTCGTGCTTCTGGTAAGGAATAAGCATCATTTGTTATCTTGACAGACTCGTTGGAACGAAAATCAGCACTTAGACCGGTATATTTTTTAGTTTTTTTTTTAGTGGATACGTGGGAAAAATGTATATACAATAAGAGCAAAAAAGTAATTTGACATAGGTTTAAAGACAAAATTTTAACATAGTTTATCAAAATGATGGGTAAATTGTACAATTTAAAACTAAAACGACTACTAGTGTTCAAGGTTTGCTCTAAAGAGATCATTCATGCAAAAGAAAATAAAAAAATAAAAAAATAAATTTTTTTTCATAAGGATAAAAAGAATTAGGACCATTTGTGAAATTAGCAAATGTTGGGAACTCTTCTATAAAATATAGGCATCAATAATGTTATTACCTAACATGTATGAAGTACGAACGTTGTCTTTTTTTATAAAAAAAGAAATTGCAATCCCCAAAAAGTTAACAATGCAATTTGTTTTTCAATCTCAATGTATTAGTAACTGCAAACTAGGATCGTGAAAGTATATTATGAAATTATTATCAAAGCAATAGGATTAGGTATCAAAGTTATGAATAGCAAATGATAATCTGAATTATTAAAACGTTATTGATATCTTATCACTTATGCTCAATTTATTTATATTTTTAAGATAACCAAGCACATACCCGAAAGTTTTTCCCGAGATAATACATTTATAGTCTATAGAGCATATATTAGTCATGTTTATTTCGGATCCTGTTTTTGTACCTTTGATATATCAATTTATATGTTATCAATTCAATAGTATACTGTATAACTATTAAATTTTAGAAGTTTTTCGCCAGGTATATCTATAAATACAAGTAGACATCTAACACAATTATCATATGGAATAATAAAAATAATCACATATTGGATTAACAAACCATAAGTATTATATATTATACAACAATATATTATCTTCTTATCATCACAATGGTTCCAACCCTTTAAAATAAACATCATGAGTCAACTCATTCCAACAAACCCTTTAAATAAACATCTAGAGTCAACTCGTGCCATTTATTTTGAGGTTTTTTTCTCATCATGTTTTAAACGAACATTTATTTAGATGAATTTAAAAATATAGACAAATTTTTAATTATCTAAGCCATTTTTAACCAAAAATTAAGAGGTTATAAATTTTAGCCATCAAAATACTAGATGATTAAAAATCACTTGCCGTTTTACCTTATACTTTACCTAAAAATTCACCATTGACACATGGACCTAGAGTATATAATTCCTAAAATTTGGAAATAATCATTATTTTTGAATTTTCAAGTTGAAGATCTCTACTCTCTTTCCGACAACATTCTTCTGAGTTTTGTAAATATTTCATGTTTTATTCTTTTTTTTTAATAGCTTTTATACATTTAGGATATGTTTATATACTATGATTTTTAATTAAAAAGTGGAAGTGTTTGAATTTTTTTTACAGGAAATCGCACGTAAAGATTAAAGTTGCAAGTGTTTTAATCTCATCTATGAATGTACAAGTCACTGATACACACCTTCTGCATTAATAACTTATACATTCAAAAAAAAAAAAAACTAAAATCATAGATCAAACAAGGGGAAATCAAATGTGGTTCTTAGCAATCTAAGATTTTAGAATAAAAATCTGTAAAATTATTTTTTTATGACTACACAATATTGGGCTGGATATGGACCGAAAATAAGCTGCAATTTTAATGGTTATTTATGAAAATTTTGTTTTTTTTTGGCTAATTTTGACCAAATAATTAAGTTTCAAAGTAAATTCAAAAGTCAAAAGTCAGAGACCAAAACGCATCACTCAATCTCTCTCTCCGTTCACGCCGACGAAGATGATCGGATCGGCGAGCTCAACGACGACGATGGAGTTTAAGACCTTGATTTCAGTTTCCGAATTTTATAAGCCCACAAATTTCATATATAAATCGCAACTCGACTTCAAGAAGAATAATTAAAGCCAAAGAAGAAAATATATTTACGAAAACGATATCTGTAACGTATTTACAGTAATTTCTATTCAAAATTTCTTCAAAGATGCTATAAGATTTCCTATCGGCCTTTTTCAATACAAAAAGTAAACGAATCTACAACAAAAGATCCAATACAACCAACAGGCAAAGGCAAATCCACGTTTGAATCCAATAACAAAACCGCTTACAGTAACCACCGGAGCTCCGACCTGTGCTTACGCTCCCCTCACGGTTACCTTCCAGCCCTGCCGCCACCGCCGGCGGAACATCGTTAGGGTTCAATGGTTTTGAACTTGAATCAGTTGAATTTTCAATATCGTAACCTTCATAAACAAAAAACACAACCACCACCATAAGAAAATTGATTTCGATTCTTGTTTTGAATTCTAAAAAAAACAAAAACGGAACTTACAATCGGACTTTCTCCACCCAAGAATAAGTTCTTCTCTATCAAATACGATTCTGTATCCAGTCATGAAGTTCTCTGTATTCAAAAATCAACCCCAAATTACTCCTTTTACAAAATAAGGATCAAAAGTGTAAAAATTGGCTTACCTAGGGACCAAATATGTAAGTTACTATAAAATTTATAAACATTTTAAAGTAATTGAAAACTTACGACCAATGATGTTCAATTCCGTACTCTTGATAACAGCCAAGCAATATACAACTTCCCTCTGCATCAAAAACATCGCGATTATTATCAGTTATAGATTCTCACCTCCTTACTGCTAACAGTCTAACACAGATATTAAGGTGACAATTGGCTTACATTTGTTGAGATAACAATCACGGGATCGTATATAAAAAATTGACCTTCCCCTTTCATTGTTAAGCTTATACTCGGGATCAAACTAGTATTTGCATAAGGACTATACACATAATAGCAACAAACTTTTGGTCACTAATTACATTCTATAATAAAAATAAAAAAGAGGCAATAGTCAAAAAAAAGTATATACCTCATATCGTAACAATATTCGAAAGGAATCCTTTGATCGGTTGGGTGTCGTGAATCTTTCGTTTGTACATGAAACTGAAGAACGAAATGAATTTTTTAAAAATTAACATGCAAAAAAAATACAAAAAGTTTATTTTTTTTTTTAAATTATTGCTAACCCTTTGTGTTAATCTTGTATAGTGTGGGTCAATGAGATAGGTGAAGGAGGTGCCCGAATCAAAAAGAGCCGAGAAAGACGAATCAATAAGCGAGGAACCGACACGAACTTCCGTTACGGTAATATTATACGTCGGACTGCACAAGCAAAAAAACAAATTTAAAGTTTCTGCGAAAAGGTTATTCTTCCAGAAACCCCTGAGCTGATCTGGCACACACTGTCAACATGTGAGATGTAAATCACGCTAGTGGCCAAAAGCCCAAACAATCCACATTTGGAATTGAAACTCCCACACTGACTGTCAAATTCTCGACCGTTTTGTTTTATAAGGGTAAAATTGACATTTCACAATTTGGAACTTACTGCGATGAATCTAAATTAAACGGAGTCACGTCTTGCTCGGGGTTGCCTTTATCACCGAAAGTAATCCTACCGGTTCCATCGTGTCCAAAACACATAGAAAACGAGTCCGAAGTGTAACCTTCTCTTGATAAAATGCTTGGAACCGATATTTTCTCCAAACCAAGTCCAAAAAGACCATTTGGGGCAGCTATATCTAAAAACGAACCACTTTGCACCTGCCCGCATCTGCAAATTTCGAAATTTTAAAAAGGACATTTACGTCTTTTGCACAAACAAGATATCTTGTTTCACCTTTTTGGGAAAGACAAAAAACTTTTCACTTTTGTCCTATATTGACATCAGTGTCAGTTTTTTTTTTCGGTTAGTGTCCAATGCATGTCAAAAGCAGTATAATTTGTTTAATTTGTTTTGTGTTGTAGGAATTTTACCCAAAAGTGACAAAGGCATCGATGATTTCGCCTTCACTATCTTCTGTTTCTAAGTGGAGAAGATCCTCCATTAAGATCCCGGAAGTTGAAGTTTGAGATGAAACGTAAGAAACTGAATAGGGGCAAGTATTAAAAGCTTCACTTTCTTCACAATCATGGCGATGAGTGCACATACTGTGGTTGCATGTAAGCTTTTTGCTTGTTGATGATCTTGTTGGACTATATATGCTCAGCTTAAAATCCTAAGGAAATACAAGAGAGAGAGATTCATGGTGTGGGAAAAGTCTAAAATGTCCTTCAAAGGGGACAAAATTCAACATCATAAGTTGTTTGAAATGATTAAAATGGAAGCTATTGAAGAGTATTAAACAAATTAACCTAATTGTGAATGAATAGAAGAACATACAGAGCTATAAGCTGTGTTATCAATGGAGGCACATCTGGTACAATCACATGGCACCCAGAATAGATCACTCCCAGTATCAAGAGCCACCATGAACTTCTGGCCAGGGGTTCCCAATGAAACAGTTGTGTAATGCAAACTAAATTACCAAAAAAACACATAATTAGAATCTGTAAATGAGATCGTGTTTGATAGCTTCGCTAAATCAAGGTATGGAATTGGAAATTTGGAATTCAGGATTCTTGTTTTGGTAAGTTAGGGTTCATGTTTCGTTGCTTCACTAAATCATGTAATAGTAGCTAATGCATTGTGTTGTTCAATTGTATAACATCGTTTGGGGATAAATGTATAATGTATATTCCGTCTAAGCCCAATCCCCAAGAAGAAACCCTAAACTGAACTTGATGATCATGTAAATTACTTCTAATGTTGGTTTTTTTGAGGAAGAAAGTGAATTAAGTAGTTTCATGGAACCGATTTATTCTACTTTTGAGAAAAGTACACCGTGAATAGTAATATACGATCCAGAAACCCTAAATCAAGAACTCAAGATTTGAATAGAATGAAACAAAAAAGGAGAATGTAGTAGATAAAAGAATACGTACAATCCTAAAGAGCTGATACGAAAACTGGAATTTCCATCGGAGAAAGTGAGGCGTTCTTCGTCTGAATCCGAGAGTCTCCGGCCTCGGAATATCTTGTCATGGTTGGCCAACTGAGAATAGTACTCGACGCTGCCTTTTTCCGGGAAATCGCCGGGCGTAAGCTTGTTAATACCTTCCGACCACCTCTTCACCGGCTCGGAGAAGCGGTGGTGCATCTTCAACGTGAAGACGCAGGCATTAGAGTGTTGAATGAAATTGTTGGTCCAAACTGAAAGGAAAATGATGGAGAAGAAGTAAAAAATTTGCATTTAGATTGTTGATATGGGTTTTGTCATTTAGTTGAATTGAATTGGGATTGTTTCGAAGAATCCAAGATCTGTAAAACGGAGGAGATGGTGAGTAACGGTGGCGACTGGTGAGAGTGACGGTTGGTGGGAAGGTTTTGAGGATTTAAACGTCCAAAACTTTATGCATGATTGAATTTAGTTGAATAATAAATCAAAATATAAATATCATTTTACCAAATCATAATTTAACGATGACAAAACTACAAATCTGGTCATGTGGTATTTAAAAACTTTTGATAGGATCCAAAAGTTTTTTGACTTGCATGAAGATCCAAAAAATATTTATGTGTTTTTTGATAAAAAAAGGCTTGAAAATACCATTATACCCTTTTAATTTTATTTTTGGATTTTTTTTTTATTCTTCTTTGATTTGTTTTCTTAGTATTTGGAGAATTTTTTTAATATAAAAGAAAAACAAGCGGCCCTCTCTCTCACCCCCTCTCTCTTTCACACACATAAAAAGGAGGTCGGGTTCGTCACATCCATTCCCATCATGAAGCCCTAAATCCTAATGGATTCAACAATCAAAAACTTTATATGAGCAAATCCTACATTCGACGCCACCTACACCGCTCGACATTTCTTCATCTTCATCACCTCCGTATCTCGATGTTTTCCCACACTAACCACCATAGGTGACAAGTATGCCTTTGTTCAAATTTCTTCATCTTCATCACCTCCGTAAGGAGTTGGGAATATTACCTGATGGAGATGATTAGGAGACTTCGCTTCAAATTTTCACGAACCCTATAGGTGACAAGTATGCCTTTGTTCATCAATGCTCTTGAACCCATTCAATTTTCTTGAAAACATTATCAACAAATTCAATAATATCTAACCCTAACTTACTATTAATCAATTCCCAAATTTTATGATCATTGTTTGTAAATATTTGAGTAGGACAATGATATTCATCGAGATAATTTAGAGGGTTAGGTGTATGCTGAAAGATGATAAAGGCAATGTGCATCATTGTTTGTAAATAACTGAAGCTCTATATTTAAAGGTGGAGTGTGTGCGTTTCAATAACATTAGTTTGGTTTTTGAAGCTGGGCAAAAAAAATCTTAAGAGCCTAATTTTTTAGGGACTCCTTGTGTGTCTAATCTAGTAGCAAAGTAAAAAACAATCTACTTTTTTTTCCAGATTTGCATATGATAGATGTGGAAGAAGAAGAAGAAGAAGAAGAAGAAGAAGAAGAAGAAGAGAAAAAGAAAGAGAAAGGGAAAGAGTGAGTTTGTGTGTAGGTGTGTGTGTGTAAGAGAGAGAGAGAGAGAGAGAGAGAGAGAGAGAGAAAGAGAGAGTATGTATGGGGATAGGTGGTTGGTCTCTTTTTATTTTTTTTAATTAAAATAACATCAAAGTAATTGTAGAAAAAGTAAAAAGAAATTAAAATGGTATAATCGTTTTTTCAAGTTTTTTTGAATCAAAAACACATAAACATTTTGATTTTGGACATTCCATACAAGTTGAAAAAGCTTTTGAACCCTATCCAAATATTTTTAAATACAACAGTGATCAAATTTATAGTTTTGTCTTTAACGATTGACAATATGTAAAAAGAAAACTAAAAAATTCACTATTTTTCATCATCATTTCACATTTTATCTGCGTTTTGAAATTAGTAATGCTAATCTCTCGTAATTCAGCATTGTCATTAATATTTCCAGCAATTCAGTATATGTTTTTCAATATATTTGAGTATTATTTTATATTTATATTTATTTATTTGATAACTAGTTTATAATCCGTAGGAATCACCGTTATAAAATTAATTAGATTTTTATAGTAAAAAACTCAAAATTATTAATCAATTATTTTAAATAAATTATTAATTAAGATATATATATATATATATATATATATATATATATATATATATATATATATATATATATATATATATATATATATATATATATATATATATATATTAAAGATGTGAAAAATTTTAACAGTACTTCGTTATTATTGGATCGCTTCCACCGTCTTATCTATCTCTGTTCCAATTTCCACCGTCTTCCTTTTATCATCTTCATCAGCTAGATAACACCTCCAGTTTCTTCCTCACTTTACCTTAGCCGCTTCTGCTTACATACGTGTCCACCTTCTGTTTCCAAAGTGATATGTGTCCGATGCTTTATCTCTACCTTTTCCATAGTGTTCATTCATATTTTTTCTAGAATCCCCACCGCCCCACCGCCACCGAAATAAGATTTCCACTCTGTCGACTCCCCCTTTGATATCATTCTTCTATAAGCCCTAATTAAAGATTTCAACAAACCACCATTGCCGCACAAGACAATGTTTTCGCCACTATCGCCATCGACATCTTCTTTGTCTCCCTGTTGGAGACCAACGGGATACCCTCTACCAATTGTTATCTTACACTAATCCTTTTCTTCCACTGAACAACACCAATGTTGTTAATCATCTCCACACCTTCGATCTCTCCACCGCTTCTACCACTTACTGACCCAATCTTAAATTCATCTTCCGCCAGGATCTTGAGGTCTTACGCTTGCCTTCCTCTTTTTGACTCTCTGTTAGGTTACGTTTCCATTTGATTGTAACTATCGCAGCAAGCATCAGTGGTTGTCGACCAAAAAACGTACCATTGGGCTCGATTTGGTTCTTTTACAGGCTAACATTTCAATCCTAATATTTGTATCTAAGGTTGCACACCAAGTGTTTGTGATATTATTTCATTGAATAGAAAAATAGTTGAATACCCCCAACGCCTATCGTTTATTTCAGATGCATAATCGATTCCCAACTTCGACTGTAGATGGTTTCCCACCGTATTGATGTCGGCTTCCAGACACCGAGGTCGAATTTTACGTTTCCGGCTCCATCACCACCAACAACCACAACTACAAACTCCATGTATGACTTTGAAGCTCCAAAGGAGCCAAAGAAATCTGGTATGTAGACCAACGTTTTCATCGACCTTTTTGCTCTCTTTCTACCATAGTGACCTCCAATTACGGAGCGTTCATGGAGAAATTCATTATCCCGCCATCGCCAACAACTTCTCAGGCTCAACTCGCCTTCAGCTGGGATTGATGCATCTCAGGGGCAAGTTGATGATGATGCAGATGATTAGCTTCTTGTTGTTAGTCGAAGCACTCATCAGAGGTTTTTAAGGAGCAAAGCTAGACGTGAAATGTATGTGTCAGCATCTGAAAACACAGTAGGTAAGTGTTGTTTGATATAAAAAGAGACCTATCCATAGTTCTATTCAAAATCCGGTCTTTGACATTAGAGATCGCTGCTACAAAACATGAAATCAAATGTAATCTAGCATTGAAATTTAGGGATTTTCATATATGATGTCTTATGTTTTTGTCCCTCTTAGTATTTATATGACTCTCTATTGGATCGGTACTATCAGTGAGTTTTTGGTGTGTTATTGTCCCTCTTGCTATTGCTATGTTCCATATTGTAGAGGGTAGTTTGGTAAATTTAAAATTATTTCAAGGGAAGTGATACAAATTTAGTAACTAGACTTGGGTTTAATGTTTTTTTTCATTTGTTTTGGTCTGATGTTTCTTGCAGGAGGAATTAACAGTGAGTTGTTGGTGTGTTTTTGTCCTCTTGCTATTGCTATGTTCCATATGGTGAAGGGTAGTTTGGTAAATTTAAAATTATTTCAAGGGAAATGATTCAATTTTAGTAACTAGAGTTGGGTTTAATTTTAAGATTGATGGAGCCACTATTTTTTTTGTGGGTGAGCATTTACATACAGTGGTATACAGGTATTCGAATGATTCTGATGTGAAGACAATGATTTTGTTTTTTTAGGTCTATGATACATTTCATTGTATTATAGTTTCATATTTCCAGTTGTATTGTGCATATATAAGGGTTTCCATGAATATGGTAGATCAGCAAGGCTGTATTATAGTTTCAGATCACCAGTTTCACATCATGTAATAACTGATGCAAGCATTCCTATAGGTAAGAAAATTATCCAAGAAAAACCTAATGGTTTCACTTCCGATAAAAATAAATAAATTTCTTTTGCGTTTTATCTTCATCTCTTTGCTTCCTTTCTTGGTCAATTTATAGATGCGGCGAAGACGAAAAAGGGATATGTCTGTAACCAGACGGGGTAAAAATTCTTTTCTCTTATGATTTGTTCTGGAAAATATTCAATTTCTAAACTATATTTTTATCTGTGTTTTTGGTATACATTTACCTCACACTTATTTCCTGTTTTTGGTATACATTTACCTCACACTTATTTCCAGAAAATATGTTAATATTTCAAGTGGACATATGGGTTGCTTTTTTTTTAGATGCCATTTTGTTATGCTTTATGAAAATTATCTATGAATAATTTATGTATTACTTTTACCATTTATGAAATTTAGTATTAGAGATCTTGATTTTTCGTCTTTCATGAATGTATGACATATTTTTCTTTTATTATATTGTTCTATTATCAGGATAATGTGGACACTGATTGTTTTCAACATCAGGTTTATCACTTATTGCAACACAAACGAAGGTATATTTGAACTTGATATTGTACTTTTCCACATGAAAAATTTCCCTTTTCTATAATGGGATTCCTTAGGAATTGGTAGTAATGAAATTGAATTCCATCCCTAATTTATTAACTCATGGAATTCGATTCCATTCCTACCTCGGCTGTCTCAACTCTTAAGGATGTCTAATGAATAGTTGATTATCATTAAGTTGATTAAGAAATGAATCTAAATTTTAATTGCAATCTCATTTTTTTGCAAAAAATAAAAGCATATGACTGTGATTTGGAAATGTTGTTACTTTGTTTCAAATGATTAGGAGGCGATAATCATATTCCAATGGAATTGACCTTAGCCTCTTCAGGAATCTTCTAATCAATATTTCGACCAAGTTTTACAACAATGTATCACCATTTTTACTATGATAGTTTTTTCTAAAATTCACATGTTCCAATTGTCATGTTTTATAAGGAAGTGGATATCAATGTGGCTGTAGACCAACTTGTAGAAAAGATAAGCACCACCGGTTTTGGTTTGGTTTTTTTCTTATTTTTTTTAAATGTTCCAAGTTTTATATGCTTATGACTTTGACACATTTCTTAGAAGGAAACTCCAAAATGCTTTTCTATAAATAAAATTACAACCAATATGAGGGAATTGAATGGTTCATTTTCGAGGTTTATTGGGCCATCCAATAATCTATGGTTGGTGAAATGGTAAACATCAAACATGGGCAATTAGACAAGAATGGGAGGCATGTTTGATTACCAAGTGAGCAGATTTTAGTTCCACACTTCCACTACAGAAGATATGCAGATAAAGGAATATGCACGTCAAATCCAACCAAGTCGGTAATCAACAATTCCATTTCCCCTTATGACCCCCGCAATGCGGGGGGAACTTTCCCTAGTTTTTATTAGTTATGTGAAATTATAATTATTGATTTAAATAAATGTGTAAAATTAATTTTTAATATATATATTAGACATTTTTTATTTATGAATTAATGAAAACAATAATATAAAATTTAAAATTTAAAATATAGAATAAATACATTGACAAATAGCATCACATTAATGAGGATGTCTAATAAATTTAAAATGGATAACTAATAGATTGACAAATGACATCACATTAATTAAGGGGTATAATATGGTGATATATTGCAAAATAACTACTCTTTTATTAGTATTGGGAGATGAGATATTAATAATAAGAAAATTATTGGTGTTGGTTGAACTTCCTCCTTTGGCGTTTTATTTAGCTAGCATTGTCTTACAAGTTATAAATGCATATTCATTTAGCCCCAATGTGATGTGTCTTGATTTACTTTAGGTTTGTGGGAGTTGGTGTGGTTCCTACCGCGGTTTGCCACCTCATCATTGCAACATATCTCCCCAACCTTGTGGTCTTCCTCGTGGTTTGGCTGCACACAGTTAGAATTGGCCACACACACACATTCTCTCTCTCTCTCTCTCTCTCTCTCTCTCTCTCTCTCTCTCTCTCTCTCTCTCTCTCTCTCTCTCTCTCTCTCTCTCTCTCTCTGTTTGTGTGTGTGTGCCAAGGTATACACACCTAGTATGTGGCAAAGAACCATACTATGTGTGGTAACATTGACATGACATCCATATAGCATTTACGTGGCAGATGAGGGAGTGTGGTTTTTGTTGCACTACACTTTCCATCTTTAATAGTTATTGTCTCGTTTGGTCTTTGTATCTCACTCACGCCCCTAAATTTGGGGATCATCGCTCCAACCATTTATTATATAATCATGAATCATAGCATATTTAAGGACAAAAAGTCTTAAGTGCACTAGAACTATTGTCTTAGCAACACGAATTTCGATGTCGTGTAATAAGTCACCTAGATCTATAGAAGTATTACGAGCTCTTATGTGACATAAGTAAGTGACTTCCATATTGCCTATGAAGTATTTCAAACCAGTAGGTCGTCTAATCCCTCAAGTTAACTGATTCATATCACTTTAACTCGACCGTATACTTATTTCATCATTTCAAATGTGTAACTTACCGTATTGTGAAACTGATAACCAATAATGCCTATTTTCCAAAGATTGAGATTTACGAGATTCGTTCAATGTACTAATAAACAAAATATAAGATAAAAATAATGATAGAAATAAATTAGAAGTTTAATAAAATCAAATAAAGGAAGTTATGTTATATAGACCAAAGTTGCGAATGATTTGATTCTTATTGTAATGACACAAATTTTCAAAAGAAAATTTTCATTTTTAAATAATCAAACACATTTCCATAAATCATGAAATCCCAACATAATTGTTTTCAAATCCACATTCATTACATCTTTATTTAAAACCATCAGAGTGTCCCACAAAATATCGGTGAGAGAGTGCACGCCGCACCATCATGCCTTGCCCTTGCCCTTGGGCTCAAATGTACCTGAAACAAATCCACAATTGTAAGCTAATGCTTAGTGAATTCCCCAGAGCATACCCCACACACAATCCACATAACACATATCATAATAGCTATAAAGCTATAGATATCACATAAGTCATGCATACAACATATAAGGAAGCCATGGAAACCCTCCAGGGTCTTACACCTAATGCCATGGGAACCCCCACGTTGTCTTCCCACCTTGGGAACCCCCACAAGCTCTTCACTACCAAACAAGACATAATGCAAACTATACAAGTAGATATACCAGGATGCCATGGAAACCCTCTAAGGTCTTATACCAAATGCCACGAGAACCCCCACGTGGTTTTCCATGCAAATGTCATACTATCATAATGCATAATCAATCAACAATCAATATAACATAAAATGGGTCAGCCTTGGTGCATTAGACCTATTGGTATGGTGAGAAGACTCACCTCTCAAATGTTGAACTGACAAGCTAGAATCAGGTATGTACCACGCACCGCTCCTCCTCAAGTGCCTATAACCATTAACTTGTCATAATCCCATTATTACCCTCAAAGTCAACTCTAGTCAACCCTGGTCAACAACCAAGATCAACAGTCCATGTTGACCTCAACTCGTCGAGTGCACCCATAAACTCGTCGAGTTCCTGTATGACTCGTTAACTTGCTGAGTTACCTTTTGTAACTCGTCGAGTTCTTCCCGAGTTCATCCCACTGAGTCCCACCTCAACTCACCAAGTCACCCTATTGACTTGTCAAGTTCATCACATGTCCAAAAAACTAAGATCTAATCAAACCAAAACCCTATTCCTTTGCTGCACTTATCTAGAAACTCAAAAACGGGCAAACCGTACCCCGACTCGTCGAGTCAGCTAAGGGACTCGACGAGTTCCTTCAGTCCTTAACAAGTTCAACCCTTTTTAATGGGATCTATGGTCCCAAACTCCTTTAGTGTAGATACCACGTATTAGGCTCAGATCTGTGGTTGCTACTGCAGATCTAGACTGGTATTGACTCATGAATCTGGGAAGTGATAGCTTTGGGGCTTGATTGAGACTGTCCTTGCCTTAAACCTTCATTTTAGCTTGATTAGAGCTTGTTGAGCCTTGCATGCATGTAAAGTTGGAAACTTTATGTGTGAATCTAGCCCTAGGAGTCCAGATCTATATATTGGAAGCAATGGAATACCCTGTGATCATCTGAATGAAGATGTCACCTGTGGACTCGTCGAGTTGGAAGCACCACTCGGAGAGTCTGTTGAAGTTTGCCTTGGACTCGGCGTGTAACACCCAGAATCAGGAAGACCAAGAAAAGAAAGGTTAAGCTCTAAATCAAGAGTCAACTCGTCGAGTCCACGGAGGAACTCGACGAGTCGGAGCGGGATCCGGGTCATTGAGTAAATGAACGACTCGGTGAGTTAGTGAGTGGACTCGGCCAGTCTGGTCTGGGCAAGAAAAACCCTAATCCCAGAGGTTGTGCCCTATATAAAGCACATTATAACCCACCCTCAGCCTCTTTGCTCCCCTTTTGAGTTCCAGAAATCCTAGAATTGAGTGAGCCTTCATTATTTGAGAGAATAGAGCCTTGGAGGAGAGAATCTTGGAGAGGGGCTTGAAGATCAAGGGCTTTGCTGCAAAGGAGTGGTGTAGATCCGGGATTTACTTCAGTTGGAGCTTTCATTTGAGGTAATAGTCTGTTGTTTGGGCTTATGTGCATCTAGATCTATCTTATGTTTGAGTTTTGGGCATTTTGAGTATGGATGAGATCTATTTCGAGTTTAGAGTAGATCTGAGGTAGCTACCTCAGATCTAGGTTGGTAATAACCCATAAAGTCATAAAGTTTAGGCCAATAAGTTATTGGTGAAGCCCTTTGTTACAAAACCTAGCCCTAGAGTGTTCAAAGCCTATAACTCCTTGGTTACACGTATAGTTTGCCACTTTACGTAGCGGTTAGGCTCTAGAGGAATAGATCTATGGATTTGAGCCCCTGCATGGCTCGAAAATCCATTATATGGATTAAGAACTGAAGAGACTCGGCGAGTCACATGGGTGTACTCGGCGAGTTGAATGATCATGAGCATGAACTCGGCGAGTTGGAAGAACAACTCGGCGAGTCTGTTGAAGATTGCCTTGGACTCGGCGAGTCTGGTCGCAGAACCTCAAACCTTTTCTGGTTAAGCCTCGAATCAATGACTCAGGAGGTGACTCAGTTAATGGAGCAGGACAGAACTCGGAAATCAGTAGACTCGGTGAGTCATGGTCTGACTCGGCAAGTCTAGTTGCGATTGAAAGGGGTTTCTGAGCTTATGAACTCGGCGCATTAGTAGGCTGACTTGGCGAGTAGGGTCAACCTGGAAGGTTGACTTTGACCAAGACTTTGACCTTGACCAAAGTTGACTTAGTTTGACTGTTGAAGGGCAGTTTGGGACTAAGTGTTATATTTGGTATTAGTAGATTGGGGAGTTATTGGAGTAGCAGTGCGGGAGCTGTCAGATAGCAGTCAGCAGGGTATCAGCAAGAACTCCAGCAGTGCAGGTGAGTTTCCTTCCAGTAGGAACGGGTCTAAGGCCACAATGCCGACCCGTTTAGTTAGCAGTAGTTTCTAGACTTGGTCTGATGCAGTAGTTAGTAAGTTTGATGCCTTCGTGGCTCAGATAGGATTATGTGTTATGTGTCCATGCTAGTTGATATGTTATGCTATGCTATGTTCGGTTAGATCTGGATTTCGGTCCGATGCAGTCAGTTACGGACTTCGGTCCGATGCAGGGGACAAGGTCCCAGTTAGTCCGGACTTCGGTCCGATGCAGGGGGCAAGGCCCCAATTAGTCCGGACTTCGGTCCGATGCAGGGGACAAGGTCCCAATCAGTTTCCGGACTTCGGTCCGATGCAGGGGCAAGGCCCCAGTTAGTCCGGACCTCGGTCCGATGCAATGGGCAAGGCCCAGTATATGCTTATATGTTTGTATGGTATGTGGTAGTTTGGGGGAGCTCACTAAGCTTCATGCTTACGGTTTTAGTTTTTGGTTTCAGGTACTCAGTTTTCAAAAGAGGAGCTCGGAGAGGTTGCAGTGCACACACCATAGCCAGTTAGCCTGGGATGTTTTACTCTGAGAATAAGTTATGTTTGAAATTAATATTATGAAATTATGTTATGACTTATGATACGGTTTTTATAAATGTTGTTTTAGTAATGTTTTAAAAGAAATTTTTAGTCGTGAAATTTGGGTCGTTACAAGTTGGTATCAGAGCCTTGGTTTGAGGGATTCGGACACACTTGAGAGTGTGTCTGGACTCAAACTAAGGAAAAGGTAAAAGGTTTTCAAAAGAAAAACATTTTCGAAAGGAATTTTTGGTAAAAAGGAGTTTGAGAAAAGAAAAGACTTTTAGAAAAAGCGAAAAGAATATTTAGAAAGAAAATAACTTGAAAAGAGAAAAAAGGTGTGGTGCATGCAATCAAGCCGAGCTCAAGTAAGTACTCCCAAATTACCCATACAAGTTATGATTATCAATTTCAGTTTCAGTTTTAGTTCCAGTTTCAGTT